GATGTCTGTTGGTTCTAGTTGTGATAGTCTATTCAAGAGTTCTTCAAAATGTTCTACTTACCTGTTCTGCTGTTCTTGAATCTCACTGACTGATTTACCCTCTTTGTCCCTGGACCATCTCTCTGGCTTACGATATTAATCTCCTGGTTTCCTCATCGTTTCATACATTTGTTTCATATTTCGTTCTCTAACAGCTCCTTCCACTTTCATTGCTAGCCGTTCCACGTATTTCTACTTGTTGGCTTCAATGCTTTTCTTCCCTTGCCTGTTTTCTTCAGTGTATTCAGCCTGTGTCTCGACTTTCTCTGTTCTTGTTCCACTGTTGTTAATTGCTGTCGTCTTGTTCTTGCTTTCTTTGATCCTGTCCAGTGTTTCTATAGAGATTCATTCCTTATGATGATGCTTATTGTGACCCAGCAACTCCTGACACATTGAAGTTAATGCTTCACTGATCCCTTCCCAATTGTCCTCCATAGTGGTTTCTTCTTCCTTCAGTAGATTCTGTAAGGCTTGGAACCTGCTGTTGAGAGTTATCTTGAATTGGTTGAGTTCGTCAGTATCTCATAGGAAGGCTGTACTGAACAGTTGCACTGCTGTTTATCCAGTTGTCCAGTGCTTCTTTGACTTCAGTTTCATCTTGGACACAACGAGGTGGTGATCTGAAGCTATGTCAGCTACTCTACCTCCTCGTTGTTACACCTTCCACTGACCTTCGGCATTTTTTATTGTTACAAATATGATCGATCTGGTTTTGTGTAGTGTGATCCGGTGAGACACGTGTTGCCATGTGTATGTGTTTGTGTTGGAATATTGTGCCACCTATAACCATTTTGTTGAATACACATACATTTGCAAATCTCTCACTATTATCGTGCCCTTCTTCAGTCAATCCACATCATCACATGATATCTTCATATCACTTGTTGTCCATTTCAACTTCGAAGTTTAGATCTCCCATCAAGATGGTCAGACCCCTTGCTGAATACTTCACTATGACCGATTGCTGTCTCTCGTAGAAGTGGTATTTATCGTCGTCATTCCTATCATTGGTGTGTGCATAACATTGGATAACAATTATTTTAATTCCATCCTTCTTCGTTTTGAAGAATGCTTTGATGATCCTGGATACGTAAGCTTCCCATTCTATGAGTGAATTACGTGCGTCTTTGGATAGCATCAGAGCAACACTCTGAATGTGTGGAGCATTTTCTTCTTCGTGACCAGAGTAGAGCAGCCACATTGTCCAAAAGTTCCGCGCACTTAAATTAATTTTTGCTCTAATTGTTAGAAGGGGCATCATCCTCGTGACTTCCGAATCATCCCAACTTTCATTATGAGGCGCCATAATTCTTCCTCCAACTTGGAGGGTAGAGTTTAAACGGTTTAATTTGTTTATTCTGGTTGGTGTTTTCTTAGCAAGATTTTTTCTAGGTGATGGAGATGCTGACTCTACGCACAACCCTCCTGCTTTACTCGGGATTAGGACTGACAGCTGTATTAGAATTTTTACAGACGTAGTTATAATACATATGAAATAATTGAAATAACTCATTGGGATTGAATAGTTTATTTTGTTAAACATGTTTATGCTACTAATGAGTAGTTCAAAAATGCAAACGAAATCTCCGAAACATAATGCCTAACTGCTTTAGTGAAGTTTATGAACATTTTTAAGTTGTTAATGTCAATCGAATTTTGAATTTTTTTACAAAGACTACTGCAGATGAATTCTTCAGCTTAGCTAATAGTTGTTGTCCACTTTCGGTTTTTAGTGATGTCTTCTGAAGGAAGGTCTTATCAAGAATTGGGATTAGCAACCAAGACGCACTAAAAATATGCTTCTTTACAAATAGGCACATCTTAAAAAATAACTAGACGCAAAGATGGGGCAATTATTAAACATAAGTATGTTTCGAATAGTAAATCAAAATGAAATTCAACATTAGGTGAAAAGAACCCCACTTCTACAGAACACCATGCTAATTATATTATGTAAAATACAAGAGGAGTTTGGATGTATCTTATGAAACAATAAAACCAGTAATTTAGATTGTCTTATGGTTTTCACAATTCAAATGATAGTTCATCCTCACTAATAACTAAGTCCTTGCCACAGTTCTAGAAGATCAATAACCCTTATCTTTTAAAATTACTGTCTCTAATGATCCTAAATCTGCAGTGATTATGAACTAACGTCAGTGTTTATATTAAAATTTCTGATTTCACTGATCAACACTCCTTGAGGTAACTGAAACGAACATCAACCATCTAATCAGTATTTAACTTAGAGATTCTCTGGACCTTTGCTGGGAATTACAAGCTGTCATTTTTGTACCCGTTGCAAGATCGATATAAAATATAGCAGCACAAACTACCATTATTCCCCTTGAGTAAGAACTAGATTTCTTCACTTTTTAACAAGATACGGGAATATTTTATGCTGTTTAGTTACTTTCCTCTTGATGATATGCTGTAAAATTTTGGTCAGATATACATAAAGTACTACTCTTTGAGTTAATGTAGGAGATTCCTAAGACAAATTTTCTTTATACATTTTAAGTTCGCTGTCACGAAGCATATTTAAGTAACCAAAAGAAAATGTAGGAAAAGACCACTGTTATCATTTTACTGAGCTATAGTCCAACTCGAATCTCCCATCTTATTTATGACATAAAATAACTTACTACTGTAACTACATCAGTATATTTGGAATTCTGCTATGCTTTTCATAGTTTACGATAAAAACTTTTCCATAAATACCCAGAAAGCAGTTAGGAGACATGTGAATAGAGGTGACGTGCCATGGGACGATTAAAAGTTCTTGTAAAACCGTTCAATGGGACTGAAAGTTGGTAAACTAACAGACACTGATCGATATGATTCATCACATTTACCAAGAAACTTAAATTAATAACTAATATGAAATATTTTACAGGTGACCCATAAACAGAAGTATACCCACAACCACAATCGTTCAACTAACAAAGCCTGTTGACTTATTTAACATTTTCCAAGCATTGAAAATTTCACAGTATCCCTAGGTGTACGAATTTCTGGAAATCCCGATCATCAAGTTTAAGTTATTGACAGTCTTCACAAATTAATTAAATATGAGGTAATAGGACCTTTGGGAGTGTTAACTGACTGGGATTTCATTTTCACTTTAGGAAAGACACTTTAATAATTCTGAAAGAACAAGAGTAAAGTGTAGAACATATTGAGGAGAAAATATGTTTTTGTGATTTCGCTATTATTCACAAAGATGTTTCAATCGAGATTATAGGTAATTTGAAGATAAAATTTACTAGGAACTCAAGTTAGTCGGAGAACTGTCTACAAAACCAGGGGATACTAAACACACAACATGGATTACTTGCGGACTCTCAAAAAGTGTGCTGTCAAGACTACAGAGCATTAAGCTAATGAATAACACGTATGGTGGAGAACGAGACATCTGTCGACTACTGAGTCATGATCCGATCATTTAACATTTTAACTTAAATCAATCTGTGATATAGCCAAGTACTCATACAATGTCACCTTTATTACTGTAGTTCTTCTGTTTTGGCTGGCTTTATACATTATGACGTCTAACCAAAAAGTGTATTTTGAACAAAACTGTTTTATACACCACTGAAATCATGACATTTGAAATTAATTTGTGAAAAAAAACATGTGACAAGAGTGAATTTTGTAAGCCATTTAGTTACTTCTAATCTCACTGTTCAGTAAAAGTCTAAAAACTAACTCATGCTCAAGCGTCATAATAGTTAAGAATCGAACATACATCCAAATCCCAATACATAATAAGACAAATTAATAATGATAGAATACCGATGAATTGGGTTTAAATACAATTACTGACTTTCAGTATAAAATGTGTTTGTTAGTATGAAGAAAAGTTGTCATAATAAAAAAAAAATAAAATCAATTGACAACAAAATGAAAACTAACTCATTTATATTCACTAATGATTGTTCTTTTATGAAATACAAATAGTACAAGGAAGTAAAACAAAAACAAGGAATGAAAATGCATAATCATTTGTTTTTCAATTGCAATTCAAGATATAAATCGCCTACTGAATTGTATACACAATAAGATAAAATGCGAATAACTACTTAATGTATTACTGAAATAATGATATGGTATTTATGTTTATATGTTTATGTGTATATGTATCATTTAGACATGTTATTCATTAATGATAAGATATTTACAAACCTTATAAGCTCAAAATGAATGATTTGAGTAAAAACTAGATGAATTCATGAATGAAATTTCATCAATCTAATCTATTCTAAAATGAAGAATATTTGAGCGAACAATTTTTTTCAATAACTTCATCATCAGGCTCTACAGTTATATAAGTCCATAATTATGATATTTTACAAAAGCCAAAAATAAGGCATGTATTTATGAATTTGACAGTGTTTACCTTGGCCCACGACTAGATCACCGGATACCTAAACTGAATATTATAAACATCTTACCCTCTCTTTTTTTTTAATTACCTCTATCTTAATCTTCAAATCCATCATCCTCAATTAGTTTATCGTAATTACCTTAATAACCCCCCCCACTTATTACATATTATATTCACACCAACAATATTATTATTGTTATCCCAATTGACAAGATTAAATTCTCCTATTATGCATTTTATTCACACAATATTTTTGCATTTTCATTTTTGCTATAATACTATTCTATTTATTGTGACTGTACACTTTACTCCAAATCATTCTCACCTTTATTGAATGTCGTAAAAGATGTGAACATTCACCTTTTTTAACATATCATTTTGTCGAATTCATTAATACATGCCTTATTCTTGGCCTTTGTAAAATATTATAATTATGGACTTATAACTGTATAGAGGCTGATGATGAAGTTATTGAATACAATTTTTCATTCAAATATTCTTCATTTATGAATATATTCTATGAAGATTTTAAAACTCCTAATCTTTTCTAATCAGTACATGAAATAAATATTGATAATTATTCTTTTATTAATTCATTAATTGTTTTAATTGAATTTTGAATTGATTTCAATGCACCATTTAAACGTTGTAATAATGGACCAGGTATAGGAATTATTTTATGAGACGATATAATTTCATATTCATTTGTAAGAAATTTTGCAATTTCTTTAGTAAGTATTATTAAACCTTTTAATGATTCACATAGTTTATCACTCATATATTCTAATTTTCTTAATATTACTGTATTTGTATTATGATCATCATTGATATTATGGATAGATGATAATAATTTAAATTCATTACAAATAGACATAATATAACGTATTAATTGACTACATGATTCCATTACTAATTTAGTTTGTTCTATTATAAATTGTATAAAAAAATTATTATTTTTTAAATTTTTAAAATATATTATTGTATCATTTTGAAATTGTATTAAATAATTTAAATAATTATCAATAATATTTAATGAATTTAAACAAAATTGTGATAATTTCTGAAAATTTAAATTTCCCACTAAATTTTTTTGATTTAATTTAGTTAAATGATCAATAAATTCATATGATTTTGATAAATATTTTGGTTCATTATTTGACACTTGTAATGATGAATTTAAAGATAATGTATGAAATGAAGGAATTGATCTACTTAATTTATTGAACATATCTGTTTGTTGTTTTAATAAAGAAAAATGCTCTTGATTTGATTCAATAGATTTATTAATTAAATTATTAAATAATAGTTTAGAATTTATTAAAATGGTTGTATAAAATAAATTGATTTCAGTAAGTAATTGTTGAATTGTTTGTTCAAGTAAAGTTTTACTCTCTTCACTATTATTATTATCATTACTATTATTATTACTATTATTACTATTATTACTATTATTATTGTTGTTAGTCAAATGGGTGATATTAATCGACTGTTTATTATATTTTTCATATTGATTATTTAAGTCTATAATATTAATATTTTTTGATAATTTAATAAATAATTCAGCTAAATTTTCCATATTATAACGATATATAATAAATTTTTGTATTAAATTATTATTTATTATTGTTGTTTGTTTAGAAAGACCAATCATAACTGTACATAATTGACTAATAATTATAAATTCATTATTTAATTGTGTAATTAATGAAGTTATTAAATGTGTTGAATGTATTGTATTATGTTGATGTAATAGCTTTATTAAATGTAAACATTTATCATGTATACGTTCTTGTATTGGTAACCAATAATCTGTAAATTCTTTCATTGTTCTAAACATATTTGGTGTTAATTCTAATGATAATTTAAATGGTTTATCATTATTAATTTCTTTAAATGAAGGAACAACATTTTCCGGAAATTTTTTATCATTTAAATTATCTACTGAATTTATTATATTATCAGTAGATTTAGATTGTGTATTTAAAGATAACAAGAGTTCATTGTTTAATTGTTTAGAGAGATGAATAGTATCATGTAAATTATTTAATGTTGTTTCATTTTTATATGAATTTGTACTAGTTAATTTATATTGAATTGAATTATTTGTATCACGAAATTCTTCTGGTATACTTGGTGGTAAATCCTAAAATTCACATAAAAACATTAGAAATAAATATAATTAGAAAAGATAAACAAAATATACAAATACTGAGTACTATTGCATTGTTCGATAAATAAATAACAGTCGTGCTACAAAACAAATTGTAATGTTCATGAATTTAGATTTTTGTAAAGATATATGAAATCATAGGAAAACTGGGTCAAAGTGATAGATAGTTAAAGTAATTTGATTGGTCATATAACTGCGTCACAAGGCAAGCCTTCACATAGAATCTTCAAGATCAAAGGAAAAGAAGAAAACCAAAGAACACATTACGCTGAGAAATGGAGAAAAACATGAAACAAATGAACAACAATTGGATAGAATTGGAAAGGAAGGCCTAGGACAGAGTGAGTTGGAGAATGTTGGTCGACGGCCTATGCTACATTGGGAGTAACAGGTATAAGTAAGTAAGTAAGTTTGATCATACATTTAATCACTGACTAAGAATATCATTTACTGTTATGATAAGCAAAATGTAACACTAAATAAACTTGTTGATTGACACCTCAAAAGACCATATCAAATTATGTTAAGTAACGATGTTAAACGCTAGTAATTGTCAAACAATGAAATATTTGAACTAAGTGAATTAAATTCGTCCAATGCTTGGCCGAAACAATTCACCATAACATGAAATGATCCAATCGATATTTACAACACCAATACTCTTTAACTAGTTCCATCAGAAAGTAACTGTAAATATTTAAAAGTTTACATATATCAATTTGATTTATAGCTAAAAGGGTACAAACCCTATAAACTAAGTATCTTTCTCAAATTAGTCCTCAAAAAAAGATAAAGAATACTACATAACTGTTCTTTTATTAAGCTCAACTACCATTAATTTTATGATGAATATTTTCATTGAATTGATTAAGTTTATTGAGAAAAAAAAACATATTTTAAATGAAAACAGAACATTTAGTAAATATCATAGGATTTTTCAATAATCATGAAACTGTTTAATTATAACAAACATTATTTAATCATATAGAAACAAACAAATTCTATGATAAAATAATATTTATAATATTAGTTGAACAGTTTCGTTCGAATGAATCAGTTACATGTTTGTTTGGTTATCTTTTGACTGGTCTAACGAATACAAAAGTTGACTAGTTTGACAGTGTTAATCAAATGTATATATATATATATAATAAACACAATTATTTGGAATAAATGTCATTTTAATCAAACCATGCAATTTCAATCATTTACCATTTATAATTAATTGTCATAATTCAATTCATCTTGAAAACGAATGAATATAATATTTATGATCTATTGAAAATTAAATTTAGTATAAATGTCATAGTTCATGATTTAAAAAAATCACTAAATAAACTCCTAGTAACAATCGGTTGCATTAAATGAAAGAAAAACAAAACAATTGATAGGTAAGCGTTTTTTTATCAGCACAATGAAAGTTAATTTCAGTTAACTGGTTTATGTATAACAAGTATTTTTATGTTATACAAAATGCCCAGGATAATGTAAAACCTTGAAAAAGTAATCAGTTAGAATATGATAGTAAAAATTTATTGTTTAAATGAATGAATATTCTATTAGATTCAGTCAGTCAGTAACGACGTAGAACTTCGTACATACGTACATCAGTTCCAGTTGCCATACCACATTAGCACAGAGATGCAAATGTCGATTCAAATCCCGTAGTGGTAGAGGCGGTAAGAGTATAAGCAGTAATCGGAAAGACTAGGGTTTGAAGATGTTATTTAAAGAGTATAATCCAGTGAAATAAGTTTGGAAAGAGAAAAAAAGAGACAAGGAAAATTCAGGAGATTAGAATCTGGGAGAACACAAAGAGTGTATGCACCTGCGCCACTGCAAACGATTTTGAGCCATGTCACTCAGGGTCTTTAACCAAGCGGAGTTATTCTATTAGATTACTTTCTGTAGACTTGTATTTTAGTTTTAAGTCTTTACGTTAGTCCACATTACGTCATCAGTAAAACTCTATAGTAAAGAAAGTAAATTTAATTTGCTGTGTTTTTGTAACTGATAAGGTTACTTATATCCTACAGATTTAACCAAGATATGAAACAGAATGATTACTCAAGTAGTGAAGGGTCAAATTATCCTATTTTTTCCTTCAATCTTTATTTATGATGATTTATAATTTAAAGAAACAGCCTAACACAAACAAAATTTGATTTAATAAGTTTATAGTTCTCTATGTTGATGTATGTGATAGCTAATGGTACCACAGATCCCTATTGGTATATGAAACAAATTTCATCTATATTTACACATGGCCTTATTTAGCTACTCATTAATGTCTAATGTATGAATAATATGCAAGGGATGTCTACACTAGTGGTCATGTGGGCAGTAAAAACATAAGATCATTAATACATTTCATTCCAAGCATTTCGCAGCTAAGTTGAATAGTGTTGTACATGATAATATCAAACCAAGCACAGAATAGGAGGTCGGTTAAATTTACTAAGAAGGCCAACGGCTAGAGATTTAAGAAAAGCCAGTGACAACTAATTTTACCTGTTATAATTAATAGATTTGTCAGGTTCCAAAGTATGGAACAAATCTGTACGTCCATCAAATGAACAATATATATTAAGTTTTCATCATCTTACAAGATACAAATTTATCAGTATTCTACTTTTATACTTGACTCATGATTTGAATCTATATTTATGGAGTTGACTATCTGAACCCATGTGAAATAACTGTTTGATGATTACTCACAATATCCAGTATATTGAACCTATGCAACTCAAGTAAACAGACAGCAAATGACTTGGCAAAATTTTGTTTATGCCTGGTAAAATAATACACGTGAAATACAAGACAAAATAAATTGTAATAAATGAATAGATAAATTGTTATTCGCACATTGTGTGGCGTGTAGTGGTACTTAAGAATCATTTAGCGCTTTTGAAGCTGATCAATTTTCTGTCTACTATGGCAAATATTTCCCCTGACAACTTCGATCTTTCACTACGTGTTAAACACATTGACTTTCCCGTTAATTGTGAGCATATTTCTATGTTAACTTTGCTTTTGTATAGATTGTTATCAGTTAAAAGAGAACAATTCAATAAATTTGGAGCGGTGAACAAATTGATCAATAATTATCGGACTTATTTAGATGGAATTTCGAGGATGTTAGTTTAAGCCAATTTTTATTTTACGCAATTGTATAATGTCAATTAACCCGAATTTCTGAATAAACATTTGTAACAACAACTTTATATGAGCATATATTGCTAAACGAACAACATAAATAATTCTGAACGTCAGTACAAGTAACAATTACTTCAATCGAAAAATAAATTACGAAACTATTCTCTTCAACAGTCATTTGCAGTTTAATTTTCTTGCATTTACACTTTGATTATTCACAGAATAAAAAGAATAATCAGTATAAACATTTTATAAGATAAATCCTTTATTAGAAACTAAAAGTATTAAGTTTTCTTTAAACTGGATGAATTTCTTCCGTATTTCTGGTTAATAAAACAAAATCTTTGCAAAGAAGGTTGAATATTTTACCATGCATCTTAACACAAAAGTAGTTATGTAATAAAACAAAACAAATAACCCATATCCACTTGTTTTATCACTTTACATTTTAAATGGTTACATTTGTTTGGAGCGAAACAAAACCCAACTTTTCTTTCTAATTACTCATACTTACTTAGATCACCAGTTTAACTTGTTGAATAAATGTAATGGTGTAATGTGTACTACTGATGTCGACAGATATAAGTAGTATATATCGTCAGTCGAAAATGAAAGTTAAGAAGATCAAAGAAAAGAGAACGAGAACATAGAATGATTGGTGTGTAAACGAAAGAATAATGAAGTCTTAGACGATTGATCGACATTTCGCAACTGAAGGACTTACTATATGGTTTTCAGATTTTACTAAGATGTTCGGTAATTTTGTACTCAAATACATTCGATTGTCCCCACTTGTGTTCTCGTTTACTACATTGGTAGTAATTTATTAAATAACTGATTTGATTGAGACTGGCAGTAATTAACTTTCTTTTTCTTCTGAGTATTAATTCAGTAATGAAGTGTTTATGAATAAATTATATTTCAAATGAAATCCTTGAATGTGTATGTTAACTACTCAGATTCATTAGGCATAAGTCGATCTCAGGAGGAATTTTAAAATAACCTGAACTTTAGTAACTAACATGTATAATGTATTTGGCATTGGATATTTGAACATAATGGACCGGAATAACTTAATATGGATTTCGTTGCAATTGGATGATTCAATTTTTACTACCATTGACTTATTTAGAAGAGGATTCACGTACTTTCATATTGGTACCTTGGTTACTATGTTTAACCTTCATTCAAGTCCACCACACAGATGATAGCATGTAGAAGACTTACTGGTTTTCTGATTGCATATCCAAGCCAAGGTACCATGGGAAAAATAAATCATCAATATGGGGGATTTGTGAAGACTGTAGGACTTTCAGTTTTAAATCACGATTTGGTCTTAACTAAACCATCAATAAAAACGTTGAAGCACTGGAGTGCATTTTTGTGTTCTATTACAGAACTCTTCAGAAATATTCATCCATAACTTCACACGCGGGAATCGAATCAAGAGCGATCGCTCAACCTTTAAACCAATGAGCCGGCATTCGACGGCCGTCCAGTGATTCTAGGTTTTCAATGATGGTTTACGTAAGATTAGTTCATGACTTCAAGGTTAAAAAAAATTCGAACTCGGGAGTAGTCAAAATTTCATTCCATAAGAGTCAAACAAGAGAAGTACAAAGTTGCAACTGATGCCTTCAGACATTTCATCTGATAAGCTTTGTACTTAGAAAATAAAAAAATATAAAAATAGTATGGAGTCAGTATGTAAAATGCACTTGACAAACACGATGAACTTGTTGAATTTTTATTTTCTTGCAAATATCGAGTCTTTCCCTAACTGTTAACCAATTTTGCTTATCATATCCTAATTATGGAAATGTAAGTACAACTGATAATGCTACAATAGGGCAGAAAATTGGACAGAACTCAATCCCTGGATTCCACTACTAGCCATATTTTAGATGTACCAAAACTTGTAATATAACACTATTTCAATGTAATCTGTTCAGGATGCACCTAGAGTAACAGAGACTGGTTAATCGCATTTCTGAATATCAATAAATAAAAATTAAAAACCCTTACTAATAACTTCATACCCGTTGAACAAATTAGTAGCTACCTGAACTCAGCGGCTCAGTGGCTAACGCGTTAGGCATCCGGGGAGAAAGGTTCTACGTTCGAGTGTTGGTGTGAATATCAACACCGATTCAGGAACTTCCAGTTGGTGGTCCCAGATAGAATGAAATTGGTGTTCTAGATTCCACCCTTAGTCACATACCAAATATACTAAATGGCTACAATGATTGTTAAATTATGGTCTTTTCACAGAATTCAAATTAATGTTGTTTTATGTTAGTAAAATTTTCATTATTCAGAGGACGAAACAATATCTGCTTTAATTTACAAATAGAATTATTGATTTAACCTACTTCATAATCTTCAGATGAATTTTCTCGATTCATTCTCTGATCAACTATTCCATCATTTATTGAATGTATACTGAATGAAACATCACTTGACTGATTAGAGAAATTTCCACTATCTGTCAAACCAACAGAACTAGGATACTTTGTATAATAATCTACATTTTCATATAATGAACATGAGTTTTGATTCATGGAAAGATGATTTTCTTCAAGTGAATTAAATTGTGTAGACTTTTTTGTGCATACAATGCTATTTTTACTATTGTTTGAATTACTGTCGTTGTTGTTGTCATTCGGTATGCACCATCCTGTTGGATCATCATAGACATCAGAATTATTTTGTTCTTTATTATTCTAAATGAAAGAATAAAGAAGTCGCAAATGAAAGAATAAATACAAAGTACCTTATATTCAATAAATTAATCAATAAATTAAAGTAATGATTCAATATGTATCAGAATGGGGGTTTGTTGAGTTAGAAGTAGTTTCTAATAGTTGAATTTATGAGTCTATCTAAGCTATACCTTTGAAAATCTGGAAGCGCTGGATGATAGTTTCGTCCTAATATGGGACTCCTTAGCAGTGCGCATCCTTGATCCCACATGCTGGACTCGAACCCGGGACCTTTAGATGCCGACTCAGTGGTCTAGAATGTAAGAGTTCGCGCGATAGACCGAAAGTTCTGAGTTCGAGTTCCACATGCGGAATCGTAAATGTGCTCTGCTGAGAAGTTCCATAATAGAACGAGACGGCCGTCCAGTGCTTCCAGGTTTTCAAAGGTGGTCTAGTTTGGATCGACTCATGAATTTAACTATTTAAAATTTAATTTGTAGTTGTTTTCTATCACAAACATCAAATGAATATTTTTTTACAAATAAAACATTTGGTAATGTTATTTCTTTAGAGCTTTGAAACATTTGAAAATCAACCCTAATTTCGACGCTTAACAGTTAAACGTGATTGTTTGTCACCATTAATGATAATGACGATAATTAATCTGGAAGTATTTGGTAATGATTATTGGAAATACGTCCTAAACTACAACATAATAGTTGTCTTACCGTCACACATTTTTATCTTAAAACTATCTGAGAAAACCTTGTTGAGTTATACAGTATGGTAGTCATATTAAATTCATCCTAAAGATAATATAGCTTTCACATAGTGGATTAAGAATAAGAGTTCTGGCAAATGTGGAGATAGTTCATTAGAAATAGTTGTAACATAGAAAAGGAAGAGTAACAAGAAAAATGGCTTTAGAGTTACTATTGATAAGTAGATTAAAGCTGATTATCCTAAATAAATCAAAAATGAAAGAATACACTTCATGATAAAAAATTTGAGAATCTCTCTTTTTCATTTTGATCAAACAGAAAAAAGAAACTAGACAAAACGAAGAACATGTTGAGCAAAGAATCGGAGGCAGACATCAAAAGAATGAATATCATATCATGAATTGTTTGACGTTAGACATTAACACTTTTGGATGCCGGTCTAGAGGTTGAACGTTCGCGTAGTAGACCGAAGATCCTAGGTTCGAGTTCCGCATGAGGGATCGTGGATGCGCATTGCTTAGGAGTTCCATACTGAGACGAAACGATAACCCAGCGCTTCCAGATTTTTAAAGGTGGTATAGCTTAGATAGACTCATAAATTCAACTATTGAATGAATATCACTTGAAAAGAACCGGAAAAGAAAGACCAGGACAGTCTAGGCTGGAGAACCGTAATTTACTTGGAGTAAAGTGCGTATGTAAGTAAGTAAGTAGGTAGGTAGATAAGAGAAAGAAATTGACATAATTACATGCAAATTAGTATACTTCATTTCTTTTTAACTGGATCAATAATATTAACCAAACAAACTAATTGGAATATACATTTTATTCATTTACCTTGGGTCAAATTGAACAATTTATGACATATGTATTTTCTTTTAAGTAGCTAATGCTATTTATTATAATTACTTTTTGTTTGTTTGTTTTTTATGATTCTAAAATAAATAATACTTACTTGTAACAATAACTTTTTTTAAGTTTCTTCTTTACGTAAAATAGTGAAATGAAATCATCCAACCATTCAGTATTCCTGAACTAGCCTATTGATCGAACTGTATCAAAAGATGGAGTTAATTTTCAAATAATTACGAATAACCTAGAATATATATATTATGCAGTGTTCTAGGGCGTTGTCACAGTAACTAGTGTTTCCAGACGACTTTTTTTAAAAAAGAAAAGGCAAAAACGATCAAATAATTTCAACAGAAGTAAAAGTAATAGGAACCTTAACATTAATCTAAATAACTGACTGATTAAAAATATTAAAAGACTGAGAAATAAACAAGAATATAATGAATTATTAGTAGATTATCACAATCACATGAATTTTATTATTATTATTTTTTCTAAAATAACAATATTAGAACAAACATAATTTTCAGAGAACAATATAAGTAATATTAAGAGAAATGCTTTATTTCGATAGAACAATGAAAAGACGGAGTTGATCTGAAAAATGTGATGTATTTGCGCTATACATTTCGAAATTTATAAAAGGGACTAATTGCTTTAAATGCTTTATTGCCCGCAACTCCGGCTGTAGCTCTTCTAGAGTTATTGCCGGTCCCAAACCTGGGTAAAGGAGGAGGCTTGGGTATGCGGTTAGCGTCCCCATCCCGTAGAAAACTAACTCGCTAAAAAAACGCTTACCAGAAAAAATTATTCAAACCATTTAAACTCTGCCCTGGGAGTTAGAAGGTCTTCATTTAGAAGAATTATGACGCCTCATTGTGAAAGCCGAGTTCCTTCGAAATTCACGAGGCCGATGCCCCTTCTAACAACCAGAGCAAAATTTTTTATAGGTACATGGAACGTCCGAACAATGTGGGAGACCGGGAAAACCAGTCACATAGCAACGGAAATTAGGAGATACAACTTGACGGTACTGGGAATCGGCGGAACTCATTGGACCCAATCTGGACAACAAAGGCTAAATACGGGTGAGATGCTGTTATACTCCGGTCACGAAGAGGACAATGCTCCACACACTCAGGGAGTCGCTCTAATGCTGTCCAAAGTAGCACGAAATGCACTTGTAGGATGGGAATCTCACGGATCCAGAATCATCAAAGCATCATTCAAAACAAAGAAGGAGGGGATCTTAATGAATATTATCAAATGTTATGCACCCAACAATGATAGGAGCGAAGGCATTGAAGATCAATTCTATGAAAGGCTGCAATCAATCATAGAGAAGTTCCCAAGAAAGGACTTCACCATGCTGATGGGAGATCTAAATGCCAAAGTCGGAATAGACAACACCGGATATGAAGATAACATGGGACGACATAAACTGGGAGAGAGAAACGGAAATGGAGAAAGATTTGCAAATCTGTGTGCATTCAACAAAGGTTCGATACTGCCTTCCTTCGACATACTGACAAACTCAATGAATTCAAGATAGCTCACAACAACAGGTTCCAAGCCTTACAGGATCTACTGAAGGAACAAGAAACTACTATGGAGGACAACTGGAAAAATATCAAAGGAGCATTAACTTCAACGTGTCAAGAGGTTCTGGGTCACAATAAGCATCATCATAAGGAATGGATCACTATAGAAACACTGGACAGGATCAAAAAAAGCAAGAACAAGACGACAGCAATTAACAACAGTGGAACAAGAACAGAGAAAGTCGAGACATAGGCTGAATACACCGAAGCAAACAGGCAAGGGAAGAAAAGCATTGAAGCCGACAAGTAGAAATACATGGAAGAACTAGCAAGGACGGCGGAAAAAGCTGTTAGAGAAGGTAATATGAAACAGCTTTACGATACAACGAAGAAACTAGCAGGGAAATACAGTAAACCAGAGAGACCGGTCAAAGACAAAGAAGGCAGGCCAATCACTGAAATTCAACAACAGCAGAACAGATGAGTAGAATACTTCGAGGAACTCCTGAATAGGCCGGCTCCAATGGATCCACCGGACATCGAAGCCGCACACACACATCTTCCTATAGATGTCAATCCACCAACGACGGAAGAAATCAGCATGGCCATCAGACAAATCAAGAGCGGGACCCGACAATATACCAGCTGAAGCACTGAAATCAGACATCGAAGTAACTACAAACATGCTCCCCTTTTTATTGAAGAAGATTTGGGGGGAGGAACAAGTCCCGATGGACTGGAAAGAAGGACACCTCATCAAGATTCCAAAGAAAGGAGATCTGAGCAAATGTGAAAACTACAGAGGAATCACACTACTGTCAGTACCAGGGAGGGTCTTTAACAGAGTGTTGCTGAACCGAATGAAAGACTCAGTAGACGCTCAACTTCAAGATCAGCGGGCTAGATTCCGTAAGGATCGGTTGTGTACAGACCAAATTGCAACACTACGGATCATCGTCGAACAATCAGTTGAGTGGAACTCATCACTATACATCAACTTCATTGATTATGAAAAGGCATTCGACAGTGTAGATAGGAAGACATTATGGAAACTTCTTCGACACTACGGAGTTGCTGAGAAGATTGTCAATATTATCCGGAACTCATACGACGGACTACAGTGCAAAGTAGTGCATGGAGGACAGCTGACAGATGCATTCCAAGTAAGGACCGGAGTCAGACAAGGCTGTTTACTCTCTCCCTTCCTCTTTCTTCTGGTGGTCGACTGGATTATGAAGAACTCGACATCTGCGGCAAAACACAGTATACAATGAACAGCTCGGAATCAATTAGATAATTTTGACCTTGCAGATGACCTAGTCCTCCTATCGCATACACACGAACAAATGCAGATAAAGACAGCCAGTGTAGCAGCAGTCTCTGTATCAGTAGGCCTCAACATATACAAAGGGAAAACCAAGGTCCTCAAATTCAAAGCGGAGAACAGCAATCCAATCACTCTTGATGGCGAAACTCTGGAGGACGTAGAATCCTTCACATACCTAGGAAGCATCATCGGTGAACAAGGAGGTTCAGATGCAGATGCGAAGGTGAGGATTGGCAAAGCAAAGACAGCATTCCTAAAGTTGAAGAACATATGGAACTCAAAACAACTTTCAACCAATATCAAAGTAAGAATCTTCAATACGAACGTCAAGGCAGTTCTACTGTATGGAGCTGAAACTTGGAGAACTACAACAGTCATCATCAAGAAGGTGCAAGTATTTATAAATAGCTGTCTACGCAAGATACTCAACATCCATTGGCCGGATACCATTAACAACAGCCTTCTGTGGGAGAGAACAAACCAGCTTCCAGCTGAAGGAGAAATTAGGAAAAGACGATGGAAATGGATAGGACATACATTACGCAAATCGTCAAACTGCATCACGAGGCAAGTCCTAAC